GGGGGGGGGGAAAGGGGGTTGGAGTAGGCGAAAGATTTGGTAGAGGGTGCCGTCATTCTCTCGCGTGATCGCGCATACCCTCCATCATAGAGTGTTTTCTTCTCGCTCGTCAGATCAGCCATGCCTAATGTCCTTTCGAAGTTAGTTGTGCGATGACGTGTGGCCCTCCATCCCTTGAAGCAATCAACATTTCAATTTGTTCGATTGTAACTGAATTCATTCTAGAGGCCACAGTTTAGTGTATATTCCCTTTCCTTTCATTCATTGACGTAGACAATAAGCCCATGTAAGCAACAACCCACAACAAATGAAGCAACCATCTGCACAAATTCCTGTAGGTGTCATAACAGGCATAACTATAATAAAATGAATGCAGGGAACATAGCAAACATGATGAGGCACTATGAATGAGACTAACAAAAAGAGAAGACAGCCAATCTCATGACGTTGACCGAAATCACCTTGAAAAGCTGCAAGAATCCTCTCTAAGAATTTTTGAAGATGTAAGAATCTTCTCTAAAAACTTTTTGGCCAATTTCTTAAGTGAGCGAAGAGAAAAATGCAGGTTGCCTTCATGTAGAAATTTGTTGAGAAAGGATATAATCCTGATAGAACTGTAATGGTGACAAACCTACGTCCCAACAACCGAAGTTTTGCTTTTAACTACGCTGCCTCCAGTTCTAGATGCGACCTTAGTAAAGGAGCTGCCGGGGTCAAGCTCAACTTTATTTTGAGAGCCATCACAATGCCATTAATCTTTCTTCGAACTGAGAGACTTGAAAGCGAAAAAATACGACGAAGTTCCACTCCATCAGGAATAAACTCATAGCTCACAACAGAACACCGTATATTGGAGTAAAAAACATTGGAATAAGTGAATATCAACAGATCTATTACTATGAGAACAATCGCTACCGCCGATGGTTATAGGATACGGTTGAAAGTAATAGAATGGGCTAGAAATCCAGCGGTTGAAGGTCAAGGAACCAAAAAAATGGTGATTGACATAAAAACGGAAGGGACGAAGATATGTGGAATTACGGAAACTGGCGCAAGTGAAAAGTATTTATAAAAAACAGTGTCGAGAATAGGGAAGGGCTGAAGTGGCACAACCCGCAAGAGGTCGTATATCTTGCTTACCAAAAGGTAACGTAAAGGACAATGGTAACACTAAAGAATATCTGCAAACAAAAGACAGGCATACTGTTCTCTTTAAAACAAGTACAGCTTCCTTATAAGTGTTCTATTTCAACGATTCTACTGAGCGCACACTTTCAGCAATACATGTGATTCTGACATATCGTTCTGCCAATTATTCGTGCCACTTTTGGGACCCTTTTTTCTCAAAATTTATCGGAGCAGTTTCAGATGACCAGCGATTCCGATGCGAATCTTCTTAATATTTTACGAGGAGGTGGAAATAGTACTGAAAACAGCCCATATCTTTGGGATGTGATGAGAGGCAGGTGTTTCATGCATCATATGGAATCATACGGAAAAATACGAATCACTATGTACTGTAAACTGTACTGCATGTAATCAGACATCAATCATTCCCTATTTTTCATATTTTTTGTTTTTACCTCCAAAAAGTTAGGCAATTTGCATTTTCCAAACAAAAGAATCTTCTCGTTTGTTTTTAATTTTCTGCTCCCTCATACCGGTCTTTAGTAACTCCGCTTCACATTTGACCCAACAACTTGTGTGAGTGAGGTGAATAGCCGTTCTGAGAAATGGTCGGAGGCATTGTTGATAGATCTCCGACAAAGTAGCAGCTCGGCTGTCCTTCCTCTCTCTTCAACTTGCTCGAGTATTCCCATTTTCAAAAATTATCGAAGGCTCCAGGCTAGAAGGAAAGCGGGGTCTATTTGATGAACTAGTGCAGTTTTAGAAAGCCCTAAGAAGCTCAACGAATGTGTATGTTTTCACCTTTATGCGGCAATATGTTCCATGGCCCAAATAACTACCACTTTACTGACTCCTTAGAATGCTTCTTGATGGCAAAAAACTTGACGGCCCACACTTTTGTGCATACTTTTTGGTAGTTACTAGTTATTTCCTAAAAATGAAGTGATCTTCATCGGTTTTTCACGGATATAACTGCAAGGCGCGTCTTCTTCATTAGGCTACCATAACAGTAACAAGCCCATAGCTCTTTTATATTTTCCCACTATGTCCTCGAGAACATAAAGGATAAAGGATAAAGTTTTTGGCGTTAATCAATCCGACGACGAGTTCTTGGCCATGTTTTTTGAAAGAGCGCGTAGGTCTACAAATTTTTAAATCAAACTACCTTAATTTTGGTCACACCTGATCGCTTACTGCACGAGCTCTTTCCTTATGAGCGCTGACCACACATAAGGCCTTCCTCTTGACCGCACCCCATTCTACTAATCAGAGATCAAGCCCCAAAACGAGCAATTCGATGCAAACCTTCGTTTTACAGCTTTATCTCCTAATCGGTTGAAACACATGTTCTAATGCAAAAGTTCTACTGTCGGACAGAAAGGGAAGAGTTGCTCAACAACTTATAATACTGTCTCCTACAGCTTTCAGATCGTGAGTGCTCAACATATTTGAGCGAAGAAATTGGAGATTTTCCCTCAATTCTTGGCAATATGAGCCTTGACGTTGAACACGACCTTCGACCCTTCCACTCTTATGTTTGGGAAAACACGAAAGGTTACTGCTCGCCTGATGGCCATGTGAGTTCATGCATGATGAAGGCGATCGAGGTTTTTGCGGAAAACACGGTTGATTTCAGATCGCCTCTCACGACTTCCTTGAATACTGGAGAAATACGCTGATCCATATTAGAACACGATGCCATTTTTCCATGCTTTATTTGAGAACGCTCACCAGAATGCGTTTTGAACATCTCCCAGTGATGGACAATGAAGTAAGGTCAGTAAGTTTTTCCAATGGCCTCGAACATGATGGGAAATCAGATACAGAGAACTTGTTGATGATAACCTTCAGGGAGTCACTGGAAATACTCAAAGCGAATAGGTTGTTCGAAGACACCACCTTTGTTCTGTTGTCAAGCAGGGGAAATCCTGCGAGGTGAGCCCTTATCTCCGAACGTATACTTCTATCACACCATCGTCTTCCTACTCTCTGTACATTTCCTGCTCTCTCCCAATGAATTCTATGCCATTAAGGTTAGGATGGGCGGAGGTGGTGTAATGGGAATTGGCGCTCTTTCACACACGCATGGTCACGTGTTCGATATTGGATTGATATCCGCTCAGGCCAACCGCAAGCCCTCCATCCCTCCGGGGACACTTAATTGGTATCAGACTCGTCTGTGGGGTAAAAGCGCTGACTTGTACATTGGCTGGCCACCGCAAGTCACTGTATAGGCCAAACACACATTCAATACGCCACTACGATCTTGAATGGAAGTCAAATGCGCTGGCAAGTCCCTTCAACGGGATTGATCAACGCCCGAACACTTTATGCTTTACCTTTTAAGACCGGGATGTTATTACGAGGTGGCACAGGATTATGGTTCCGAAGTAGAACCTTAGTTATTGGGTAAAAGTGTCAGTAAAGGGTCAACTTCCCTCACCCTCCACAAAGGCAGCGTTGAAGGAGTCGAGGCTTTTATGAGTTACAATTCAGGGTCAAGGATGAGTTGTTCACGGCTCGCGTCGAGGAGCGATCGCCACTCTTCGCCATTAAACTTCCAGAAAAATTCCTACGCAAGAATCCCACCCAAAAAGTAGCCATGGAATACAATGTAAACAGGTGAGAAAGAAGTCTACCACTACCAACGTGAATCATAATAAAAGAATATAAAAAATTACTGGTGACCCATGCTATGACTCCTCTGGGAGGTCCCTCGGAAGGAGAGGCGCTAGAATTTTCGTTTTGCTTGTGCCTCTATGTGGTCCCCCTGTAGATAGATCTGTAAAAAGATGCTCTCGAGTAAGACAGATCGGTTGGGTTTGGTTCCACTAGAGGACTCCTCGTTTGATCCAAATTTAGACATACTTGGCTGTACGCGTTGTGGAATGCGACAGTTCCACTTCTCGCAAATTCAGTCATTGAATGTACTGCAAGCCTTTGGTTCTGTACTGATTTCATGTGGGTGCTCAATACTAGGTATACATGGAACATTGTAACGGTCGATTCTGGCGGTGGAGCAAAGAGTCCAGCCACTACATGGTAGGATTCCAATAAGATGAGGTGGCTCGGCACCAAGACCGGCATACTCGACGGGAAATCGAAGAAACATTGCGTGCTCCCAAAGCCAAGAAGGTCTCGCAGGTGGAATTAGAAGGATGGTCAGTGAGAGGCATAATCCTTTTGCTGCTCGATCCTCAGTTTGCTTGGTTGAGGTTTCCTCCTTAATGGTATGTATCAATATCAGACTGGGACAAGGACTACTCAGTGATTATGTTCTCCTATGCCTTTGAAGTCATATTTCCAATTCAGATCATCTGTTTATTTTTCGCCACATTAGCTCTTCCATAATATTTGNGAGGCATAATCCTTTTGCTGCTCGATCCTCAGTTTGCTTGGTTGAGGTTTCCTCCTTAATGGTCTGTATCAATATCAGACTGGGACAAGGACTACTCATGTTCTGATTATGTTCTGCTATGCCTTTGAAGTCATATTTCCAATTCAGATCATCTGTTTATTTTTCGCCACATTAGCTCTTCCATAATATTTGCCCTGAAATATGCTGTACATTAAGGTTGACCACCACAAAGGACGTTGGTATGACTTTAATGGACATCGCCAATATGAGCTTTTCCATAAACATGGATACACCACCGATAAGCCAAGATGAAGCATGTACGTACACCTAAAACCTCGATGCTACCGTCGACTCTATAGTCCGATTGTTTCAGTGATGGGAGCATCTTGCCTACGACATATCCATTCCAACTGGCGGTCGTGCGACGATGCTGGTATCCCTCCACAATTGTGCCTATGCATGGATAAGAAGGTTCTACAGTCCGATGACTATACCAAGTTGGTAACTTTTAGCAATGAATCGGTTCACCTGAAAGGCAGAAAATCCTCCGTCAGACACGGTTTGAGGGAATAGGAGTATCTGAAGTAAATAAAGTAAATCCTCAGTGCACAGGGATATGAATTGAAAGTGTTGTCAAGCACTGCTTGCGGGTGGAAGATTTTTAGTTATCATAAGTATCGAATGATATCGTAGTGTTGAAGTGTGTTTTGTCAGTATCTATTGATACCACAGCTCTGAGTTCTTATTCGTTTTCATGGGTCCCCCCTTACCACGTTATGTAGCTGTCTTACTCCAGGGGAGGGCTTAACAATTATTGCTCACTCAATCACCAAAAATCGATATTGATCGCTATCGATTACTGAGACGAGAAGACACCTATGATATGATTAATGCTCTTATAAGAGTTATCAGTAACAACATACCATACACTTTTGAGCTCAGTACTAACGATACTAGCCCAATTTGTGAATTTTTTATCGGTACCTTTATCATAACCATGAAAATTTTGCTGACCGACCAACATACAGACCAATAAACAACCAACACATCAATTCAATGCATTATGGTAGGGATAATCTTCTGTTGGTGGGTTACTTAGGTAGAATAGGCTAAATTCCTCGTAGAAGCATCCTGTTTTTTTTCATGTGAAGCGCCATTACCCATAGGCACCTCCTGCTCAGACAAAAGCTGCGATTCACAATCCCGGGCGGTTCAAAGCTAATATGTGAACTGGCGGCACGTGCAGCCGCACGACGAAATAAACTACATCCCTAAAATGGAATCAGGGAAATTTGTCAGTTTATCAACAAACACTGAAGTGATTTGGTGGGGGATAATTATGCTGCACTTCTTACATGAAATCTTTTTGTCGAACAAAAGTAAATCGAAATTGTGCCGATAGGAATCTCGAATACTTTGTAAAGGCAGCCGCCTGCCTTTTCTTTAAGCGAGATCTTACCTCAAGGAAGATATCGTCCATTTACTTACACATGCTTCTATGCATTCGTGATAGATAATCAACAATTAATATAAATGAGATGGACTGTGTTGAGCAGTGCAGAGAGTTCTCCTGAGGGTGCGTATACTTTGTATCATTCACACATACATAGATGCTGGTGAACCAACAAAAAGGACAGTAAGTATCAGGAGAGCAGAGTAACGAGCATTTTATATTTCAGCGTTACAGAAGAGTACGAGCTGATGTTTGAGTATTTGAAGTCGGAAATTCTTCGCAATGACTGCTTGGAAAGAGTAGAGCAACCTCCAAAATTCACCAAAGCTACAGTGTATTCACTCAATGCGATGGTTCAACAAGGGATCAAACGGGAACATGAGTAAGTGTTACGGTACTTTTCCCTATAAATGCATGCCAGGTTCATAACGTGAATTCATACTTGTTGTTTTCAACTTAATTCTTAAGAAATTACGTGGCATCCGTTTGATTGCCGTACTTGCGCTGAGCAACCCTTCTCTTTGACGAAATTCGACTTGCCTTGCCACCTCAAAACAATGTCTTTTCAGTTAGAAGTAATTTCACCAGCAGGTTTTTTGAAAAGAAAACTAATTTGCTGGTCATTTTCTCCGAAATCAACAGCACTCTAGAGCTTCTGAACTTCCATTCTTTCACATGACACAGCTACGTTACAATGCGCTGAGCGACATATTTAGCTAGCCGATGGCAGGCATGCACGCGGCAGGCAGTGGTTGGTAACAATTGCCGTAATGACCCACTGGGGATTCAAATCATAACTTCGCACTGTCCGCTCCGACTTGCAACGGATGCGGTGATGGGCACGCCGTCCGGGTGTACGATCTCACACTCGAAGGACATTTCCGGCATCCTTTTTGTCTTTGTGGATATTCGTTCACTGGTGAACCTCCCCCGAAGTTGGTGGTCGAATAAGTTTGATAATAGCTGAAACCGGCTCTTTCCTGTTTTGTATACTTGAGGCGTCGAGGACGTAGTATTATAATCAGAATACAGCAGACTTGGCGTTTTCCTTTAGTGATAAAGCCTTTATCAAATTATTACTGACAATGTCACATTCTGTCTGAAGACTTGACAGCTTCCTTTTCTTCGCTCACCAACAGGCTTATCAGAAGTTATCTATTCCTCTCCGTACCACCTGCACATTGTCTCACCCCACTTCACCGCCCGTAGTATATGCCAAGGATCCTCTTCTGACAAAACATTATGGATACAGTGGCTCTAGCCTTATGAACTCCTTAATACATTTTNTCACCTGAAAGGCAGAAAATCCTCCGTCAGACACGGTTAGAGGGAATAGGAGTATCTGAAGTAAATAAAGTAAATTCTTAGTGCACAGGGATATGAATTGAAAGTGTTGTCGAGCACTGCTTGCGGGTGGAAGATTTTTAGTTATCATAA